CAACTGACCAAATAAGCAACACCCCAAGAGCAAAGAGAAAGAAAATGGAAAAAGTAAATCGCGCGGCGCACTACTCAAATCACCAAAATTCAAACAGTCCAAAGGCTAGTGGAAAAGGATCAGACAATGAGTGACAGTACCAGGTTGGTCGGGCCTGTAGCCTCAGTCCGCCTGGTATCCGGAACTGCTGGCCGGCTCGATCCAGATTTTGGGAGGGGTGGAGTGGGGGTTCACCTTAAAGTCCCAGGCAACCAACCTAGAGTTATCTATAAACAGTTTTGAAGTCTTCTCATATGCAAAGGAGTCAAGACTGGGAAAGGCTTCAGGGGAAAGCAAGATGCAATCTGTACTAGTATAGTAATAGGATTATGAATATTACCGATGACATGTTCCAGGTATGATACTCAGAACTGTCACTTAACTGACAATCTCTGCAGTAACCTGCAACACAATCCAAAAAGTCATAAATATATAACCATTTTTACTGAATTCTGTAGAAGGTAGAAACATGAGCTTAATTTGTGGTTCTTTTATTATTCTGGTTGTTTGAAGACGTTACTTTCTTAAAAAATTGTATGTCAGATCTTTGTGTGAGAAGATCCTAAGTATGTCTCAGGGAAGATGGGGTAGAATGGGCAGCTTGAGCATGTATAATATAATTTGAAAAATCTCCCTAAGTATTTTAGATATAAAAGGGAGAGGGGGAGAAAACTGGGTAGATAGGTGGGTAGATAGATAGGTAGATGGCAAGGTGGGTAGGCAGATAACATAGAGCTAAAATGACACAAACACACTTATACACATGGTTCAATCCTGCTCCCGTAGACAAGAAACAAGGAATACATGGGATTGCCATAGATTAAGGATAATTTTTTCCTTAATTGAAGGATATGCAAAATTGGTTGGCTTTTCACCCTAGTTATTGGTACTGCATCAGGTGATTTTCTTTTTCATGTGTGTTGGCACCAATTCCATGGGAGAGTGCATCTAGAGAAAATGCCTATTAGGGAAAATGCCCATCGTATAAAGGTATATCTGGATAATAATTTAATTGCTGCTGCTTCCTTTGTTTCATGAAAATGTGCAGTTTTATTTTCTTAAAAATAAGGAAAGACAGTGTCTGGAAAAGCATCATAAATGCACTGTGCCCATTGAACTATAATATATGCCCCATACCAAGGAATGTCTGAGCATGCTAACCTGGAGCTGGTTTGGAAAGCCTGAGGCTATGTTAGAGAGTTAATGTGGCCTGGAAGGAAGAATTCAGTGTAGGAGGTAATCAAGTTCTAATCTCATCACTGCCCTGAACCTGTCAAGAAATTTTGGTGAAGGCTCAAACTCTTAGAGCTTTGGTTCTTCATTGACAAAATGAAAATGTTGAACTAGGTGTTTAGCAAGGCCTGTTGCCACTCTGTCACTGTATATAATCCCATCAGCTTGACCTTCAAAGTCAGTGAATATCAATATCCTGGAACTCTGGAGATCTGCTTAAGATACTAGTTTTTAGTTATATAATAACAATAATCATTTAGTTTTTCATTCGCTATTAATAGTTCAAGATTATTAGTCTTTTAATCACATGATGCTGTGCATGGTGCATAATATGTATAAGAATGAAAAGAAGGAAGGACAGAAAGAAGAGAGAGACCAGCAGTTAGCGTAATGCCTATGTCGCTGGATTCCCATGTAGTCGACCACGGTTCGAGTCCCGGACCTGGTGGCTTAAAACTCACGCCAGGCGCGTGTGTGTGCATGCCCAAGATCCCGAGAGGAGACTGGAAGAGAAGGGATTATGGCGTGGCCATCCCCCCTGGAGGGTGATTTCTTGCTTTCTGTCTCTCTGTCTCTCTCTGTCTGTCTGGCAAGTGCATGCGCCCTATCGCAAAAACCTCTCAAAAAAGAAAAAGAAAAAGAAAGAAGAGAGAATAAGAAGAATTCTGTATCTTATTTTTCTACTTGTGTTATCTTATTTTACTTCCATTTTATGCAAAATGGTCTTATGTTACTTAAATAATTATAGCTTAATGATTTCATCTCACAAATATCCTAACTTCACATAGAAAACCATTGATACTGTTAACAACCATCTTCTTCTTCATGTCTCACTAGATTTGCAAAGAAGAAAGATGATAAGGGTGGAAAGGCTGAGCAGAAAGGTACTCTGAAGCATGGTGGCCTAAGAGAAGAGGAATTGGAAAAAATGAAAGAAGAACGGGAAAGGTGAGCAGAAATCAGAGCCTTTTATTTTATTTGAGTCTGTGGTCTGTGTTTAATTTGGTTATTGTAAAAATCAACTGCAATTTTATTTGAAGGATGAAGTTGACTGATAGAAAAGGAAAGGCATCTGAGGTAAAAGAAACCTCTCTTTGGGGGAAATTTTTACTATATTTTGAGAAGAAATTTAACTTCATATACTTATTATGTCAGTACTTATAAGTTCATAATATGCTGTCCCCCACCCCCAGTTTATACTCTATTAATGCATATATTCTCTTTGGTTTAAACAATAAGGGAATTTTTTTTTCATAAAAAGGTCATTTTGTTATTGATATTTAGAACTATCATATCCCCATGGTCTGTTCTTAATTTTTGTCAAGCTGTTGTATGCCTTCTTAATTGTATTCTGCAAATCCGTTTGGGTACTGTAATTGGAGAAGTCCATGTCCTTCAATTTTTAAAAGCCACCGTCTTTTATTAGGCTATCAGCAAGCTGAAAAGTATGTTGCCCATCTGTTAAAGGGCCGGCTTCATTTTCTGAAATAATGACAGTGTGCAAGGACTGAATTCTCATGTTCGAGGAGTTTAATGTTCCATTTGGACAAGAGGTCCTTCACATGTCTTTGATGTTAACTCTGACACTTATCCCAAGTGGATGTGTAAATGTCTGATTTTGAAACACGTAACTGAATATTCATATTCTCCTGAAAATTTTTTGTCTTTACTGAGTGAAGCTGATAGAAAGACTGAAATGATGACAAACTAATGTATAATGTTAAGTATTTGATTCTGATTCATCATAAATGAAGTCAGCTGTATCTAACTTTTCACTTGCTTATTAGTTACATTAATCCTTACAGTTTTTAAAGAGTCAGTTCTTTCTTTTACTTTGTCAGTCTATGATTACACTAAGAAAATCATATCTATTCATTGTGTTTTCTAGTACATAGCCATCTAAGAGTATCTATTGTTACCCTTTGACCCCTATCTTGTAGTCTATTCCCATCCAGAAGGCTGACTTTATCAATAGCACAGGAAAAATGCTGTTTAGTGCTTTCTCATTTTTGAGAGGTTGATAAGCTCAGTCCCAAGGTCACTGGAGGAGTTAAAAGGAAATCGAGTGTTTTGCATTGTTGTTGACTATTCACCTGACAGAGCTACCTACTCCAAAGACAAGAGAGGGATTCTCCATCATAACCCACAATTCAGTAATCCTGTAATGTGAAATGTAATTCAAGCTTAAATTTTAATGCATATATTGGCAAATACATCCATGTGGTGAGCTTACATCATAGATCTTTGCTGCTTCCCTGACTTTCTTTACTGAGTCTCAGCATCCCATGCCTCACCTTCAGGGAAAGGAGCTGTTTCCTAGAATGCAGACTTGACAATTTTTCCAGTTCAGTACTTGCTTGGGCTAGGGCAGGGAAACTCTTAGTAGCTGGGGAACTGTGTGCCAGTTAAAAAATTGATAACCCATAAAATAAGGTAGGTTGTCTTTGAGCAAGAGTTCATTTCCTCCCTGGTTTTGCCTTTAGGAAGCAGGTGCCGGAGGGAGTTTTGTTCTTAAGAGCAGGACTGTAAATTTGCCTCAGCTGGCTCTGTAGGCTTCAGGTCCAATTTTCTTAAAATATGTCTGACCAAAATAGTGAAAAAACTATACTATTAGCCTCCACTTAGGCTACTTCCCACATATGAACACATAAAACACATCTGATATGGATTTCCTAGAGACAACATTATCTCAATCATGTGCTAGGGGAAGACGTTGAGGAGGTGATTTTATGGTTGGGTGCTATAGAATTAATGAGCAAGGGCATTTGAACAGTTCAGGGGCTCAGAGGCTCAGGGGCATAGTGGGTGAAGGTAGGAGTTGAGTATTGGGCATTGTTCCAAACCCCAGAATCCCATTCCTTGATTCTCTATCATCCTTAGGAAACCAATTTGTAACTCCTAAAGAACTCATTGAGTGTATCACTCTTCATGGCGTGGCAATGAGAAATAGAATAAAATAAGAAATAGAGATCAAAGCTAATGCCCTTTTTTCCTAATGTATTCAAGATTTGTTTCCTTCACATGATTCAAGCCATCGTATTGCTTACTTGTTTCATCCTAGCTGTAATAGGTATAATAATAGTGTTTCATTATCCCCTTTTCAAAGTATTTAAAGCATTTAAATAAAATATAGACTGCACAGGGAGGGAGCCAACTTATAGCATATTATAGTAGCCAACTGTTAAACTTTCAAAAATTTTGTGAGCTGATTGTGAAACCATTGGTAGCTTACAGTTGGCCATGTTAGGATTATTTACAGCACAGAAATTGGCAAATGTAATAAACTGGATTTTGTTTTTGTTTTTGTTTTTGTTTTTCCAAGAGCAAGTTTACTGGCATACCACTCTAGGTCTATAACAACTCTCTATAGTGCTTAACCAGGAAGTAATGATCAAAAATAGAGGCAGAAAACAATACCCAAATTAAACCATGTGATTTGTTATAACAGTAGTTCTCAAAAAGTGGACTATCATTCAGAATGTGTGTCAGAGTAAATTATGAGGGCACCATGTTAAAAAGGGACTCCTGAGCCCCATACCAGACTTGAAGAATCAGCATTTAGAGAGTTGGAGCCCAGGGAACTGTGTTTAAAAAGGTAAGCCCAAAGTAATTCTTCAGCATTCTAGTTGTCAAACCACAGACTTAGAGGAACAGAATTTAGTGGGAACATAAGCTATTCTTATGTTTATGAAAAATGAGATACAGATTTTCTTTCTGGGATGATTGGGTGACCCACCCTACATGTACTGTCACTTTTCTCATGGGCCCTCTCTGAAGCATCCTACCATACTGGCATCCACTTTTGTAAACTAATGAGGAGTAGCCAGAGCTCAATCACCTCAGGGAATATGGCTCGCTTTCCCCAGCTCCCCTCACACACACACAACTTACAAAAGCAATATATGTTCATTAAGACAAATATGGTAACATAAAAAGTATGAAGAAGTCTATCAAAATTATCCATAATTCCACTGTAATCCCAAACCATGATTATTATTTTATGATCTTTTTTTGTGTGCATGGAGTTTTCTTGAAAACATGATAGGCATATTATATATATAAAGTCTTGCTTTTTCACAGCATTATATTGTGAACATTTCCCCATGTCATGAATGTCTTAAAAATACATCATTTTGATCATTACTTAGTATTTCGTGATATCAATATACAAAAAATTGTTTACCTTCCATTGTCAAACATTCAGTCTCTTTTCATTTTTCTCTGTTCAAAGCAACACTCGAATGAGCATTCAGGTATACAAGTCTTTATAATTTACCTTTAAATCATGTAATTCCTAGTGAAGCTTTAATTTCCTTGTTACTTTTTTACCCGAGATTAATCTATCCTCGATTCTAAATTTTAAGGTCTTATCATCCCTCTTCATTTGTCCCATTATTTTTCTTAGGATTTTTATACCTCGTTTAAATTTGTCTACATATCTAAATCCTGATACAGACTGTTTGGTAATATATATGAATATGTTAGTCCTAGCTGACCTGTAAAAAGTTTAAAAGACAAGCCGTTGGTGTAATGGCTATGTCGCTGGACTACCATGTTGTTGACCGCAGTTCGAGTCCCAGACCCGGTGGCTTAAGCTCACGCCAGGCATGTGTGCGTGCGTGCCCAGGATCTCAAGAAGAGAATGGAGGAGAAGAGATTGCAGTATGGCCATCCCCTCCGGGGGAGTGGGGGTGGAAGGGGAGGCTGATTTCTCGCTTTCCATCTCTCTTCCTCTGTCTTTTTGGTGAGCGCACACTCCCTATAGCAAAAACCTCTCAAAAAAAAAAAAAAGTTTAAAAGAACCATAATGGGTGGGTTGGGTTACTAGACTAGACTGGAGAAATGTAGAGTCTAGAAAAGTTTTCGTGAATGAGAGGAAGCAGTTTTGCCCCCAAGGGAAATTTGGGTATGTCTGTAAACATTTTTGATTGACATAACTGTAGAAGAGGGTTAAAGAAGGGAATCACTACTGCCTTGTACTGGGTATAGGCTAGAGATGCAGCTAGTCATCCTACAATGCTTGACAGTCCGCATCCCCCAGTAGTGAATTACCCAACCCAAAATGTAAACAGAGAGGCCGAGACCTACTGTTCTGCCCTCTGACTGCACAACCACTGACAGAGCTCTCTTGGACTTCAGAATTATGTCTCACAGTATCTTGTGGTTAATGCAGACAAATATGTACCAGATGAATAACTGTAGAAGGATTATGAGCTATTTGGAAAATTGTACCCCAAGATTTCTGATGAGTATTCCATCAGTATAATTTGCAAGAATAAAGTTTTTCTTGAAAATTTATTTTTTACCCTGGCCTGCTGAGCATTGGCATTATTAGTGACTTGTTGATCTAACTGTGAATGCCAAGAAACTATAGGGGCTGATAATATGTTTGATGACAGAATCATCTGGAACAATGGACTGAGTCAAACATAAAGAAAATTAATAGGAATAAATGTAAAAGTCTTGGATTTAGCTCCAGAAATGAACTATATAAACACAGGATGTGGAAGGTTTGACTTAATACCAAATATATGAAAAATTTACCTGATGGTTTTAGTTGAGGGTAAGTTTAGCATGAGTCAACAGGAGGATATGACTGCCAGAAACTTAATCCAGTCCTAAGCTACAGTACTGGAAGTTCATGTACAAAATGTAGGAAGAAACAATAATTCCTATTTCACACTGCTTAGATCATACCTGGAATATCCTGTATCTCTCCTTAACACAGATAATAGGGGCATCAAATCTACCTCTTATAAAAAATGTTGAAGGACCTGGGGATACATAGCTGATTTCACATGTTCAAAGAACGGTGAAGAGTGATTAGATTTATTTTATGGCATACGTTTTATTCTATTCTACTTTTTCAGCCTATTTGCTTATTCATCCATTCATTCAACTATTTTCTTGAAGATACTAATGGAGCATTATTTTAAGAGAGATGGCCT